TCGTTGTCTTTATCTATTCTCCTTATTCCCTTGTTCTTTCTATTCTTTTGGATATGTACTCTATATTCAGGTTGGTAACAATTAAATGCAACATTAATTATCATTTTTTTAATGCTTTACTTGTGACTTTACTTAACAAAATACTCTTTATATAGAAAATAAAAACCATGCCCTTTATAGACCTGCTAATTCTACAATTAAGCATGCTAATTGCAATATACGATTAACCCCACTCATGGGGGAAAATATGATGCATCAAATTTAGTATGCGGGTAAGAATTGAAAAATGAAATATGTGAACCTTTTTATTTCATTTGTTTCATGTTTAACGGTCTCATTCTTCTACTATACCTAAGTTCTTATTTATTTAGATTCTTTAGGCAAATAAATTATATGCTTAAAGATTAAATTGGTTGAACTATATGTGGAAACATACTTATCTGCAGTTAAGCATGCCCATGTGAGAGAAATTTAGGGAAGGTTGACCCCTGGGAAGTTTTCTTTCCTAGAACCCAAAGCAGAAAATATTATGATATGTGTTGGAGGGGGATGTTATACTATTTTAACATGGAAAGGATATACAATGGGATATGTGGCATAATGTGAAACTCACTTGAACATAGCTGAAAGTCCACACGCCTCGAACACGAGTCAACATTGGAGAAATCGTGAGAATGTATCACCTATTACATATTAGAGTCTAATCCTTAGTCCAAAACTCATATCCTATCAATTTTGACCAAAAATCCAAAGACAGTCAAAAGTCAACTGTCTGGTGCTACACTTAGCGTAGACATCCTTATGCTCAGACTAGCTCATCTATGCTCAATGTAGCACTAAATGACAAAATAGTCGAATTCCTTCATCCCTACCCTCAGCGTTGCACAATGCTACGCTCAGTGTTCACTATTCACAGACCAATCATTTGGTTAAGTTCTTAATCTACTTAGCCAACATCCCAAAATTTCCAAAAGTCGATTATACTAAAAAATGACTCGTAAAAATAGAAACTTTATGGACATACATGCCCCACACCCTTCTAGGTGAAAAATAATGAAATTATGACCTTGAACCCATACATGACACCAAAACAAGCCCAAACTCCATCTCCATAAAATAGAACACTCCAAGGACATCCTATAATGATAAATTTGCAAGCTTTATCTAGAGTTCTTCCTTGAACTCCAAACATAACCTCAAAAAGGGACTTAAAGAACATAAAATGAATGATCTATGAACCTTGAATCATAAATCTAGGAGCTTGATGACTTACGAGGCCCTCTAGATGCACAAGAATTCAGATCTCTTAGGGAAACACTCACTCAAGCTCCAAAGAATGATGAACTTCCTTAAACACTCCCAAAATATCACCCACAACAAAACAAGGAGGGATGAGAGGGAAATGGGGGCTAGGGTTTCATTCTTTAAAAGATGAAGCCTTATTTCTAGAAACCCTAAAAGTTAGAGATGCTTAAATAGTGCCTAAAACCGAAATATAAGGTTTTATGCAAACAGAGATGCTACATTTAACGTAGGAATATATATGCTCAGTGTATCTCCCTTACACTCAGCCTAGCTCTCCTACACTCAAGATAGGATTAGAATTCTAAAATCCATTATTTTATACTAACAAAGGGCATCTTGAAAAACGGATGTTACAACTCTCCCCCACTTAAATGAGATTCCGTCCTCGAAATCTATCATTACGAATTACTCTTAAAGCACCTTCCAAACTCCTTGTGGGTTTTCCAAGTCCACTCTCTTCTACATGAGTTAGGACAACTCCGAGTACCAGATTGCAACAAACATTATTAGGATTTCCAAAACTAGGCTCACAGGCCATAGCTGAGCAAAAACTTCCATAAGACAAAATTCATGATCGTGGCAGCACTGGGACGATGCATAAAACATATACTTCCCTTTATTCCCCCAAAAAATCAATTCAGACCTTACCGAGAAATATAGGACTGGTCAAATAGACAACTAACGCCCCACAACTAAATCATAACGAGAAGGTTAACTCTCTTACCATAATTTATGGACTCCGAAACCATGTCTGACTTTTACATAGACAAAGCACCCGAACCTCAACCATGCTGACTAAAACTCATAGATTTGATCTGACGATAATACGACCGCTTGAACTTTGCTCTTAACCAACCCCAAGTAAGGCTAACTCTTACCTTAATCCCAAAGGCTCCAAGGTTGTACCCGAAAACCTGGAGAATAGACCCATCCTATACGTCAACCTTGCTGACCGGGAAATTTGCAAGATCACTCTAACCAAGATCCCTACCAACCTTGTTCAATCTAACAAATGGAATGAGGGATGAATTCCATAGCTAATTGCAAAAACTAACATCAGTACTCATGGATTCACAATGAACTCCAATAAAAGCCTAACGAGAAAATGCTAACCTGGCCTACACATCAACTTTGTCCTAACAACCCTAAAGTCTAAACAGAGGGATGCCTAAACAAACAATGACAGGTCTGATTCAAACTATGTGAATGTTATGATCCAAGCATATTCATACATTCACTTTCATTGCTACAACCCAACTACAGTCTTTCCTTCCATGATCCAACCATGGTCTTCCATAGGTGAATGTTATGATCCAACCATAGTCTCACAATCATTTATGTTGCTACAACCCAAATGGAGTCTTTCCTGTCATGATCCAACAATGGTCTTCCATATGTGAATGCTATGATCCAACCATAATCACTTCCATTGCTACAACCTATCTGCACACTTTCCTGTCACGATCCAACCATGGTCCTTTATATGTGAATTATATTATCCAACCATAGTCTTACAATGACTTCCGTTTGTACAACCCAATTGTAGTCTTTCCGGCTATGATCCAACCACGGTCTTCTATATGTGAATGTTATGATCTAACCATAGTCTTGCAATAACTTCCATTGCTACATCCTAACTGTAGTCTTTCCTGCCATGATCCAACCATGGTCTTCCATATAAGTTACATAGAGAGCAAGAAAAGCTTACGTGAGACGGACCCCATATTCTACTAGACCCCATCCGGTGTTCAGGTCGCTCTTCGAACCCAAAGCCTTCATCAAACAAGAACAGATAAAGAGGCCCTTACTTAACCCACAACCTAAAACTAGAAACTAACCCAAAATATGAAGTTCCAGGATGATTTGCACCTGAAAATATTTCCATCTGAAGAAGGAATTCGCTCCTACTTAGGATTGGCTAAAATCTAACAACTTCATAACCATTTGAGTTTCCAAAACAATCCAAAAACTCTGTGACATGGTTCTTAACAACCACACATGACATTACCAATCATAAATGAATTTGAACTCTTCTAACAAACTCAAAAGCTCCGATATAACTACAACCCTCAACATCAAAATTTAAAAGAGTTCTAACACACATTACCTCACAACAACAGTAATCCATACATATATAAACCTTCATAATAGAGCCAAAGTTTCTTAATACAATATGCTTCAATAGATCATCCAAAATCAAAATTGAAACAACAAAACAAAACAAACAAAAGAGATCATGATAACACCAATGAATGTTGTGTCAAACTGCACTTAAGGAAACAGCTAACTCAAAATCTAGTTCTTAGGACTCCAGCTATTCCATGCTACCCATCCGGTAGCTGCCAAGCCAAAGGTGTTGCATCCAACACTACACTATCTTCTCTCAGGGGACAATAGCCTTAACATAACCTGGTTGAATACAAAAGAAACATACCCTTGGCGACTCTCTCTAACTACACTCCCTACTATAAGGACCCTCCTGACCACACCTAAAACATCAAGAAACAGGCATGTGACAATACCCCAATGAGTCAAACCACCCATCATGCAATGACTGTGATTCTTTCGATCTCCTGATCGAAAACCCGCCACTCGAGCCTTCTTTCCTGTTGCTACAGATGCATAAACCCGATCCTACTTCATCCTATATTGCTATGACTCTAACTCTAGTTCTCTCTCTCCACCAAACTGGGAAGAGTCTTATGAATCGAGATACTCAAGTACTCCTGGATCTCTATCCTCAACATGTCATGGTATTGAGTCATCCTCATCTCCTCTGAAGCCATATAATGAGGATAAATCATCACTTTCTCTCAAAACTTGGCGCATATCTCAGCCACCATCTCTATAGTTTGCTCAAGCGCCAGATATTCTCGTGTCAACTACTTAACTTCAACTTTTGGTACAAAATCTCTCTTAAATCTGGTGGGAAAAAAAATCCTCCCATGAGATGGACTCAACCACATCTGGTTAAAGGCCCTGGATTTGCTTGCACCAACAATCCCTTGATGTCTTGTAAATAATACATGTCACAAATCTAACCTTAGCCTCCTCCAGACAGAAGCTTGTGCGAAAAATGATGATCTGATTGCTATTGCCACTACTAGAAAGCAACCCATTAAGGACGCACAAATAATGACACACAGTGGTTTACGATACGCAAAAACGTCTGCCCTAAAAATAATGTCATCTCTTGTAAAATTTGAAGGATAGAGGACACACATTTGTGCATGCCCTGAAATTTGTGTCAAAAAAGAAAAAAAATACGGAGGATGCCTATCATAAAATGTGTGTCGTGTAAGTGTGTCGCTTATATTTTTTTTAATGAAACACGCCTTTTAAGCGGGAAATGAAATCCCCAAAAAATAAAAACCCGCCTATTCCATGTGAAAAATTAAAACCAGATCCTCTTCCAATTAGCAAGAAAGAACCGTAGGGTCTTCGTCTTCTTCTTCTCTCTCTCTCTCTAACCTAAAACCCAACCAACGATTTCATAGAGATTGTTATTACGATAGAAGAAGCAAAGAAGAAGACAAGCAAGGATAGTATCATTGACACAATTCTCAAATCTCTTCTGACCAAAAATCAGCTGGTTCCCAGAGAGGTTGCAGTGACACAGTTTCAGAGATTGCGTCTCTATCTAGGATTCAGTCTAGATCTGTGTTACCTTCTAAAGAATCCAAACATGTGGCAAGATGTCAAAGTTTTCAAGAAAGACCTCAAGCTCAACCACTCCCTCTTCAGTTCTTCACCCTTCTAGTATGACTCGTACCGAGTCTGCACTCAGGGTATCCGGAAAACAAAAACAAGAAAAAGGCTCTAAAATGCCTCCATTTCTTCCACTCCCCCATATGTGAACCAAACTAGACGACTCGACGAAACCCATCTCCTGCAAGACTTTTATCTTCGACATAGACACAACCGTTGACTCCACTCCAGCTGATGATTCCATCACAGGTAAGATTTTTGATTTCCATCACAGGTTTGATTTTTGAACCATAATTTTCTCAGTTCGATTTTTTGTACGAGTTTACTTTGATTCTATTGCACCTTAGGGTTCGAAATAAAATTTATCCATGAGAACCACCATCTCGCCAACCGATGCCGCCCTGATCAGCATAAAGAATCTGAAAACATGAAATTGAAGGGACGATTATAGGGATTTTTTCAAGAACACACACTTATGGCTATCTCTTTCTCTATCTATCTCTCTCTCACACATACACACACAAAATTGAAGGTTACTCCATTAAGGGTTTGTCTGGGAGAACTGCCTCCTCGTTCGTTTGATGGTGCGATAGCAACTGAAGTGGATTGTTGCTCTTTGCCTTCGATGCATGAATTGAAATTGGAAAAGTTAAACTCGCTGATTCAATCCCCTGGAGCGATTGTTCAAAGTAAGGTTGCTAAACCTTTATTTAATTAACTTTCCTCCCCTTTCTCCTAGAAATTCGAAAATCAATTTAGCAAATGAAATGGATATTTTTTTGCACCATATAACTGATCCAAATAAAAAATATGAATTCAATAAATGTTGGAATGAGTTGATGATGGTGCCAAGATAGAGTATGACTCAAAAATTAAAATAAAAATAGACATAAAAGAGGAATCGGCCTCAAATCCTCTTATTCTCATAATTTTCCTGTGGGAATTGCATACAGGGTCAAGGTTAATCATGAAAAAAGGTTTGAAAGCTGGTGTTTTCTCCTAAATCTAATGTAGGACCTGCTGTCAAGATTATATCAGTTACCAGGTAAAATATTGTTTTTCGTTTTGTTGACTTTGCTTTTTGAAAAAAAATCTTATATTCTTTTTTTGTCTGTATTAGAAACTTCTATTCCAAGCTAGACTGGATGAAATATTATCTGCATTTGAGTTTGTTGATCATTTAGACAGTGTCCAAAATCCATTAGCATCTTCAATTTACAACTTCTATGTTCTTATCAAGACAACCGGAAGCAATGAATCTAAAGACAGGTAACTAAATTTTTTCTATTTTACTTTACCTATTTATATATTTATAAATAATAATAATTACATATAATATCTATCTGATTTTGTAGAGAGAATGTTGATGGTTTTATTGTAGGATGCACTGAAAAGTGGTTTAGTAAGTGATGGAGCCATATCACAGGATTTGAATCAAGCATCATCATTTTGGCAAATTCATGAGAGAATTCCAAAAGCATTGCAGAAAGCTGGAGTTGTATATGAAATGAGGATACTTTTTAGTTAAAAGGTAAAAAAAAAAATTGATGAAAGTTATTTCAATTTGTTATGATTTGCTAATTTTGGTTTTAAAAAAGAAAAACAGGTGGTAAAGCAAATGTAGTGGGATATGGTCACCTTAGAGATGGAAACCTTCATTTGAATGTGTCGGCTCCACAGTATGACTATGCTGTAAGATTTTTTATTTTGCTTTTCAAAAATATAAAATCAAATTTTTTTTCTAATTGTTACAATAAAAAAATACAAATTTTGGCGGAAACTGAACTATTTGTGTATGAATGGACATCAAAGCAGCATGGGAGTATTATTGCTGAACATGGATTAGGTCTTATGAAAGCTGAAAAGATTTACTATAACAAGTCAACTGCAACTGTATGTCTACTTTTGTATTATTATTATTATTATTATTATTATTATTATTATTATTACCTTTAGTAATTTCACTAAGGTGTTGTTTTTGTTTTACTTAATGGACTTAATAGTTCAAGGCCTAATAGATATAGATATGTAGATTAGTTTATTTATTTATTTATTTTTTGTAAACTGTATGCATAAATCATATCTGAGTGGGTTAAGACATCCACAATAGCATCAACTATCCCCATCTAAATATGAAACAAAAATAATGTTATGATTATAAATTTATAACATAATACAATGTAGCTGAAAAAATATATATATTTTAACTCTACTCTACACTGTTGAAGAATAAAAAGCTCTTATTAACCCATATAAGACTATAATAAGAACATATATTTTCTCGTTAGTTTTATGAATATTAGTTTAATCAAATTTGTTAAATTTTCGAAAATAATTATGTCATCAATGTCTTACCGCAGGAGCTGCTTCCAATGCCCCATCAGCAGTTGAAAAAACAACCATCCAGTCTCTTTGAGTCTCTTTGACAGAGGAAGGCATTGCAAAACTTGGTCCTCATGTGGCAACCATGGTTGAAGTCAAACGCTTGGATGCTCATGAATGTGAAGTTCTCTTTTTAGATCTTAGATTTTCGGGTTAAAAATTACAATGAATGATGTATTTATTATCCATATTTTGATTACTATATAGAAGATACACACATGATGATGTTGGTGATGGGAAGGGTACAGCCAAGGACTTGTTGGACAAAATAGCATCACTGGAAAGTGAGTAAGAAAAGTCTTTTATGCACAGGTTTACACTTGAAATCTCTCATATTTACTTACATGTACATGAGGAAATTTAACTAACAATCATCATATGTGACCCAATTCTTTTGATCCTTGCTTTAGCTATTAGAATAATGGGATTTATCCAAGTTGATAAGATTACATATTATCTTTTGGATCCCCTTCAAAGGTGTCTTAAGGTAACATAACATATCTGTTTATTGTTGGAGTCTTTATATATTAAGTATACAAACTACTATAAAATGATTTAACTTTCTACTCCCTTTTATCAGGATTATGATCCTTATGTTAGAAAGATAGCAGCTATATGTGTTGCTAAACTTTATGACATTAATGACAAGTTAGTTGAAGATAGGGGTTTTCTGGTAAGCAGAAAAGTCAAGCTACTTTCATTCTTTCATTTCACTGCCATTTATTGCCATATCATAGTCTAACATGTTTTTTGAAGATGGGAGTTTTCTGGTACCAGTTTTTTTTTTTTAATCTTCAATAATATTCATATCATATTACATTATATTACTAAATTATGATTATAATTATGGTTTTGGTTATAGATTTCCAAGGCATTGCAATGTATTAAAGATCTTTAAACTTATCTTTTTTTGCTCGGTTATTTTCGGGTTGCTTCTTAAAATTGAAAGATGCAATATCAGCACATGGATATTTCTGGTTAAAAGTTATTTTAGTTGCTCTTACAAGTAAGCATTCTCCTCCCTAATCTTTTATATTGTTTTAGTTGAAGGTTAAAAGTTGGTTTTAGTTGCTCTTTACAAAATCCAATAAATTTATTGGGATTCGTTGGTTTATGTGAATCTAATGGTTGCATTATTTAAATTTGCAGGTCTTGTTGATGTGTATAGTGTCAAATAAAGTTGTTGCGAAGCTCGATAACAAGTTCTTGTAGTTCGACTAGTATTTGTTGACGACTTTCATCTCTTTCACATTTGATGTATTACATTTGTCTATTATTGGAACGATTATTTGTATGACATTAAATTTTTGCAATGGATTGTATTTTTTGTATATAGTGTTTTATTTTCAAATCGCAGTCATTAAATGCAAATTTAATTTGAAAATTAGTAAATACATAACTATTTTTTTTTTTAATTTTAATTTTACGATACGCAAAAATGTGTGTCATCTTCATTTATGACATGGCCTTTCTTGACAGGGGTTTTAATGATACACATTGTGTCTCATAAATGTGCTTCGTACATGTGCATCGTCTATAGACGACATGTAAAACCGTGTCGTCTCTCGTTATGACAGGGCCTTCCTTGACACACATTTGCGTGTCGTCTGAGCGTTTTACGACACGCATTGCACGTCATAAAATGCTTTTTTTGAGTAGTTTGCCAAAGAAATATAGGGATCCACAAGCATCAAACTCCCTGAAAGAAACATCCTGACGCCTAAGACGACCATCCTACAAATCAAGTTGAAAAACCCTAAGTTGCTCATCCATCACTGAAATCAACTCATCCCTAAGTGGGCTGATCAAACCAGGTAAATCCTCTCTCATGAAGCTCAAGATCTCCACAACTATGATGTTGAAAACAACCTCCTAACTCAACTCCAAATCACCAATGTAGAACATCATCATCTGTCACACCCCCAAACCTGAAAAACAGAAACATTCGGGGGCGGAGGACGTCATGTACAATATAATAACAATCGAATAGTAAAGAAAGTACACACAACCATCATATACATAACTAAAAAGTTTACATTATTGTAAGTATTAAATGTTTCAAAAGTCAATTATAATATGATGTCAAAAGATGTTATTAACGCCTAAGTGCCAATCTTCAAAAATAGTTGATGACTTGATTTAACGATTCCCTGAGAATACAAGTTATTTGAAAAAGAAAAAGTGTCATAATTAAGTTAGTGAGTTCATTAGTGGTTATTTGAATAAATTCATGCCATTTGTAAGTTCACATCTGTTTCCATAAAATTCAATATTTTCTATAAAATGATTTATGTTTGGTTGTTGTATGAAATGGATGTAATAAACCCGGAATATCCTATATTTTCCTAACATTGGAAAGTAGTCTTAATGCTCCAAGACTGTAAATTGTAAGTAAATATGTTATACTTAATTTGATGGAATATAGTTGTATTAGTAAATAAAAGTATTTGAAAGCTTGTATCTTTACGTAAAAATAATTGTATTATTACTTTTTACGTAAAGCATAACAATGTAAAAACTCATCTATCATGCGAGTTTTCATAACCGTACTAAGATGGTTTTTCCTATTGCGATGTAGCTAACAGCCAGGGTGCGGGATCCTTAGTCCCGTATAGATCAAGACACACTTATCACGTTCTCCGGATAGAGACTATGGTTATAAAACAAGAATTTCTTGTATACCTTGATAGGTACTAGGAAGACGAATGACTCACAGATTCCCAACGAGATTACGTATTTTCGAAATGAATTTAGTTATGTCTGAAATTGTTACTCTTTTTACGATGTTTATAAAAGCAAAAAATAAAGCTTATATATATATATATATATATATATATATATATATATATATATATATATATATATATATATATATATATATGTAAACATTATTTTATCCCGAGAGGGTAAAATGGTATCATGAGATGTTTTGCATTTCACCCCTAAAAATGTAAAAAAATATGTAAAATAGGGTAAGAACTCACCCGGTAAGAGTGATGATCTGATGAAAAACGAGGCTTTACTCGGGAAACACTTCAACTGGAGAAAGGTTGGCTTTCCAAGAATTTCGAGGCTTTGGGCTTCCGTCAGAACTTGCATACGTAACTGGGGTGTCGGGGTAGTCTCGAGGGTTTAAAGTCATGAAAGTATAAGAGATAGGCTGTGAATTTGCAACATAAACCCGTAAGCCTCGCATCCTTTTTATAGGGTTGGACTGAACCTCGAATGCAGGGCGTTCCTGCGAAGAACGTTGGGCGTTCCGGAGCGTAGGGCGCTCACCTCGTACGCAACACATTCGGTCATACGTGACACTCCATCGAATACCGGGCTTCAAACTCGATGGGTGATGCCACTAGGGGGCGATGTGGTCAATCCGAGGCCCTGCTTTGCGAACGCGGGGAGTTCCCTAGGAACGTAGGGTGTTCCCTTCAGACCAGCCTCGAAATCTGTGCCCAAATCATTAAAAATCCGTAACTTTCGAGTACAAGCTCTGTTTTTTACGTTCTTTATATCCAAGTATACGTGATAATATACCCTACCACTTTCGTTTAGACTCTGTCGGTTAATTTTAACTTTATTTATAATATTATAATTTTAGCAGGCCGGGACAGGAAAAGTCCGTTAAAAATTCATAACTCCTTCATCCGACGTCCGATTTCATGTCTTTTTATCGTTGCACTGCTATTGTTGAGATCTTCGATTCTCGTTTAGGTTGCGTCGGCTAAAAATCACTCGATCTCTATTTCGAGTTTTTAGTTGTCTACTACTATTCCAAAACTTAGAAAAATGATAACTTCCTCATACGAAGTCAGATTTGGACGTTCTTTTTATGATTGTTTATGGTTTAACGTAATCTACGACTTCTGTTTAGATACCTAAAGCTAAAAAGTATTTTATTGAAATTTTGCTTTTTACGCTTAACAGTGCTTTACCAGTTTTGTTGCAGATCTTTGATTAGTCATAACTTGTTCGTTATAACTCGGATTTTTGTGTTCTTTATTTTTTTGAAAACCTTGTTATGATATCTATCACTAAATACATTCCAATTGATATTTTTGAACGTTTCATTTTTTACTCTAATCTTATTATCTCAAAAAAATAGGTTACAATACTTGACTTTAGATTATTATATTGACTTGAAAATATCGGATTGTTACATCATCCCCCCGTTAGAGGGAATTTCATCCTGAAATTATTTATAGTGTAAGTACTTATGGACTAGGGAAGAGATGCGGGTACTTCTATTGCATCTGGTCTTCTTGCTCCCAAGTGAATTCAGATCCCCTCTTAGCATTCCAGCAAACCTTCACTATTGGTATACGACTTTGCTTTATTCTTTTGACTTCCCTATCCATGATTTCGACGAGTTCTTCCACAAAGTTAACATTTTTGTTCAAATCGATCTCCTCGAGTGGAATTACAAGAGTTTCATCAGATAGATACTTTTTTTAGAGTTGACACGTGAAACATAGGATGTACGTTGCTAAGTTCGAGTGGTAGTTGGAGTCTATAAGCTACTAGACCAATCCTTGTAATAACTTCAAAGGGTCCAATGTACCTTGGATTTAGTTTTCCGCACTTTCCAGAGCATATCATGATCTTACAGGGTGAGACCTTTAGTAGGACACGGTCACCAACCTGAAATTCCAAGGGTTTTCGCCTCTTTTCGGTGTAGCTCTTTTGTATTTCTCTTGAGGCTTTCAGTAATTCACGGATTTGAACAATCGTCTCAGTCATTTCTCTAGACCTCTTGCCAACTGCGTGTCACCCACTTCTGCCCAGCACATAGAAGATCTGCACTTGCGATCGTAAAGGGATTCGAAAGGAGAAGTCTTGATTCTAGTGTGATAACTGTTGTTATATGAGAATTTAACTAACGGTAAGTGGATGTCCCATGCCTTACCAAAGTCTAATACACAAGCCCGCAACATATCTTCTAGGGTTTGAATAGTTCTCTCACTCTGTCCATCAGTTTGAGGGTGGTAGGTTGTACTCATGTCTAGCCAAGTTCCCAATGATTTATATAGTGATTGCCAGAACCGTGAAGTGAACCTGCTATCTCTGTTCGAGACAATAGATATTGGCACTCCATGAAGTTGCATAATTTACCGAATGTAAGTTCCTGCAGTTTCTCCATTTTATCGGTCTCCTTGATTGATAAGAGGTGGGCAGACTTGGTTACTCTGTTAACGATCACCCAGATGGTATCGTGACCACCATGTGTCTAGGGTAGTTTGGTTATGAAATCCATGGTAATCTGCTCCCACTGCCACTCATGTATTTCGGGCTGTTGCAGTACACCTGAGGGTTTTTGATGTTCTACTTTAATCTTGGAACAAGTTAGACATTTGCTCACGTAGGTAGCAATTTTTGCTTTCATGTTTGGCCACCAATAGAGTTGTTTGAGATCCAGATACATCTTATCTGAACCTGGATGTATGGAGTATCGAGTCTTGTTGCTTCATATTGGGTTCTGAGCATTCTAACACTCTTATGATCTACATGCAACCCTATAAACCTTGGATCTATGTTGTCTCTATTATACATCCATATAAGAACTTTCCAAGGCTTTAATCCTAACTAGCATACTATGAGGCAACTATACTACAAAGACTAGTTAGATGACATACCTTTTGGTGTAGCTTGATGTCTTCAAGCTTTAAGAGCTTAGCCCTAATAGTGTGGAAGCCTCAAGTGGAATCACAAATCACCAAAACACCTTGGAAGACTTTGAGAATAAGAATACTTTGGTTCTCTCTAGTGTAATCGGCTAGACCTCTTAGTGTACGCACACTAGTGCCAATTTCACCAACCAAGGACATCTTTATATAGTGAGGAGACTAGGGTTAAACCCATAACCTTTCATTTCATATGATCCATGGGTTAAACACTCCATGGACTATCCATGAACGCTTATCCCAACCTAAATGAACTTGGCCCATCACACACATATATCTAAGAGTCCATATTTAATTAGTTCATTTTGATCACTTAATTAATTCTTGATCAATACTAATTAAATAATATGATTCCATATTAATATATTAAAACTTATAATATATTAATATAAATTATAAATATACTATTCTCAAAAGACTATCCATATAAATTGTGCCGGTGAAGTGCAACCCAAATGGACCATGCCAGGTCGGGTCAAGTACATACCAAATATAATTATGGACTTAGACAATAATCCAATGGTCTCCCACTTG